GTACAATCAGTAGATTACCGCCAAGATTTTAAGGGGGCCTCGCCAGTCCTCAGGCTGATTGTCGTGGGATGCGCCTTAACGGGTCTATTATTGGTTACAGGTAAGCTCTTGAACCTATCCTAGGAAGACAATGCTTAGAAGGGTCGTCTGAAGCATCGGATCATTGGAGATTAGAACCCTTGAGGCCAGGCAGTTTATGGGAAAGCTACGTTACTTGAAGAATATCTTCAAATTGAAATGCAACCATGAAATATTTTTGAAAGCAGCTTTTTTTGAACTCACATGGATTTGCAATGATGATCGCTTTCATCAGTGCAGCTTCCTCCTCTTTGATGTTCATCCGCCGAAAGGGGCTGATCAGTTCGTCAATGGAGCGTTCAGCCAAACGATTGGCGAAATGACTGTAATACTAAACATGACTTTATGTTACCGGAGTAGGCGATGTCCTGTTATGTTATCCAGAGCCCATTCAGTATTGGAGGCAAAGTAGCTAAGGGGCAACGGTAGCTGAGGGGGCCATGAGGCCGGCCCCCTCAGCTACCGTTGACGGCTTAAAGGCACCTTCGACGATAAAATAAGGCTATAATGTGTCAGATGATCCGGAAGGCGATTTTTGAGGCTGCGCTACTTCAAAATGTGAAAAACGGCAAGAACTCCGCTAGAAGCTGGCCAATTAGGCCCATGCCGACCCCCACCGGCTGCTAGCTACTAGCTAGTAGCCACTATGCTATCTCTCTCCATTCCGAATGGTGAGAGTGAGGTGATAAGATAAAAGAGCTGATATCTTTATGATAACGACGAGTGGAAATTCGTACAAACACGCGTTATCTTATTTGCATGCACTAAGCTGAGGTAGGCATGGAGTCCTATTTAGAGCACTGTTTTTTTTCTACTCTTCCCTCCAATATTCAGTTACCTAGTAGTTTGTCGTTCGTAATTGAGCTACGCAAACTGTAGTCGCCGGCTTTCCTTTAAAGGCAGTTGGCACGATAATTTGGTACTCAGCCTAAAATGCTAGCAGGGCGCTATCTAGTGGGAAAATGGCGAAAAAACGAAGTGAAACGGTCAAAACTGCGAAGAAAAGCCTTCGTTCTTAAGAAGCAATTTCGGACGAGTTTCCCGTAGGCATATTGCAAATAACCGCTACGGTAGGTACGGCTGCATGTATGTACAGTCGTGATCCCTCAGACT